CTGACGTGTGGGGGCCATATCATTTGCCAAATATGGGGGGTTACAGGTACTTTATCCTTTTTATTGATGACTACTCTCGTTACACTTGGATTTATCTCATGAAATCCAGGGATGAAGTACCAGCTATTGTGCAAAATTTTCGTGAACTCATCCTCACCTAGTTTAACACTCGGATCAAAATATTCCGTTCTGATAATGCTAAGGAGTATTTTGAGAAAACCCTCTCTGCCTATCTTGAAACTTTTGGGGTTATTCATCAGATTTCTTGTTCCTACACTCCACAACAGAACGGGGTGGCGGAAAGGAAGAACAGACATGTGGTTGAAGTTGCCAGATCCCTCTTGTTTGCATCCCATGTTCCTATAAAATTTTGGGGATATGTTGTTCTTACTGCTCTTTTTTTGATCAACTGTATGCCCTCCCGGGTCCTTAACTTCAAAACCCCCTTTAGCCTTCTCTTCCCAAGTGAGGATATTTTTTTCTCTTCCTCTCCGTGTTTTTGGGTGCACTTGCTATGTGCATATTCACAGTCATCAAAGGCACAAGTTTGAACCTAAGGCTCGTAAATGTGTTTTTCTGGGATATGCTTCCACACAGAAGGGATATTGCTGTTTTGATCTAGTTAGTGGCACCCGCTTTGTATCTCGGGATGTCACATTTGCTGAGTTGACTCATTCTTTAGCATTTCTCCTGAGGGGGAGAAATCTGAAGAGCCCTTTGCTATGTCTCCAGCTATTTCTCTTCCCATTCCTCTTGAGTCCTATCATGAGGTGTTGTCAAGACTGTTGGAATAGACCAACAGAAGGCAATTAGTCAGTTACAAGAAGAGGCCACATTAGCAGCCACTTGTCACAACTGCCATCCACTTGTAACAACTGTAACAGTCAAGATTGTAACACTATAAGTAGTAGAGCCAAAAAGGAATAATGGAGGACTCTTTTAGCATTAAACTCTCTCTCTCTCTCTCCCAAGAATTCAGGAGGTTGGCCCCTCGAAGAGCCCTGAGTTAGGCAGGTTTCTAACAGGTGTCTACTTCTCCCACTGGACCTACCTCCGATATTCCTATTCCTCCTCTTCCACCTCATTCTCCTATAATTCCTCCTCATCCTGTTCTCCAAAGGTGGTACCAAAGGCACAGATTCAGACATGGGCAGGTTGTTTCAACTCCTACAGAAGAGCCTCTTGCTCCTCCCATCATTACTGAGGTAATAGGTCAGCCTTCTTCTGACTCATCTACATCTTTCCCAAACCTTGACCTTCCTATTTCTCTCCGCAAGGGCAAGCCGAAGTGTACAACCCATTGTATCTCCAAACACCTGTCTTACAACCTTCTCTCTGCTTAGGTTGTTTCAACTCCTACAAAAGAGCCTCTTGCTCCTCCCATCATTACTGAGGTAACAGTTCAGCCTTCTTCTGACCCATCTACATCTTTCCCAAACCTTGACCTTCCTATTGCTCTCCGCAAGGGCAAGCGGAAGTATACAGCCCATTGTATCTCCAAACACCTGTCTTACAACCTTCTCTCTCCTTCCTACTACTATTTTCTTGCTTCTGTTTCTTCCCATGTGATACCCAGGTCCGTATCGGAAGCCTTATCTAAACTTGAATGGAGGGATGCTATGATGRCTGAACTGGATGCTTTGCATAAGAACCATACCTGGGATATTGTTGACTTACTTGAAGGGAAGGAACCAATGGGTTGTAAATGGGTGTTTACCATTAAATGTCACTCTGATGGATCTATTGAGAGGTTTAAGGCTAGGCTGGTTGCTAARGGCTACACTYAGATGTATGGTATTGACTATCTTGAGACATTTGCTCCTGTAGCTAAGATGACCTCAAACAGGGTCTTGTTATCTCTAGCCGCTACTTTTGATTGGCCCCTACACCAGTTTGATGTTCAAAATGCATTCTTGAATGGAGACCTACA